ATCACATTCTCTTGATCATTTATAAGGGACCTTGCCGTAAAATGATCTGTTCCGGTATAAGCCAAGAAGTCCGCTAGGGAAAAGGGGCTATCTAGATGGATTGACCCAGAGCCGCAACAGGCAGAGCCTAGCCCGTGTCCTTCTATAGAGGTAGATTGTTTTCGCGTATCGTGTAGGAAAATCGTTTGCTCAGGTCATGAATTCAGCAATCAATTTTTCCATGGTGATTCTCAAATCTTGTTGATTTCATTCAGGTTGCTCAATGGTTCTATTTTCCTGTAATGGGACTCTAGAGGATCTTACTCAAGGATCTGAATTGGTCCTGAGGCTCGAAGCATCGACAATGCCGCCGTTGCAGATCCCATCCAGCAGCCAGCCAGCGAGCTCCGCAGAATTGGCATCAGTTGGCTGCTTCAGCCACGATTGGAACAGAAATAGTCTGTAAGATTGCCGCTGCCGCGCTGTGGAAAATGAGGTCGTTCTTGCGGTAACCTTTACTTCTGAAGTGCCGCTGACCCCACGCGCAGGTCGTTTGCCTGTGGCGGCGTGGAGGCTGCTGCCAAGCACGTGAGGACCAGGTAGAACACCCTGTCGGCAGCACGGGAACTTGCAAAGAAGTTGCAGAAGTTGTCTGCGGCTGATTCTGAGCTGGTGCAATCAATCATTTCAACCACACGGTTTTCATATGTTCGGATTTCGGGATGATGGTTGGCGTGTGTTGCTCCGTTGACGTGCCACAATCTTGCCATCCCTCTCCTCTCCTTGCACATGCCTCTTGACCGTCCAGGCCCTAAACTGCAGAACCCCCTAGAGTATCTCAGGCCGAGGGGCCTCAGGCTACGGTAATTTGCTGGTGCAAAATGCACCCGTGTTCGCGTTTGCTTGTTGCCTCCGTCAACTTTATGCTAGGCCTGGGACTTAGAGAATTCGGTCCTGTCGCAATTTGCAAAGCAAGGAGACATCTACAGGTTTAAAGGACGCCCTCTGTGACCTCCAAGCCAAAACCGAGCACGGCGTCAGGCACCAAAAGCGTGTTCGAAGGCCCTATTATCCCTGCAGGCGGATCTTGCTGGCCTCCCTCCAGGAGAGCCAGTGGCACGGAGCTGCTTGGCATGGCAAGTAGAAAGCCGCCAGATCGCCTGAGGATTGCAAGGAGCCTAAGGGCCTCAGGCGTTGCAAGGTCTCCAGGGAGAACCTAAGAACCGTACTTTGGGGTGCACTAGGGGTCTGGGATGTGCTGCTTTGCGACGTTCCAACGTCGCTTTGCGACGTTGGCTCGGGGGCCCAGCCCTCACGAGCTAGGGAGGGAACGGCCTGTACCAAGGCCCCGGTGGCCAAGTGGAGTTGCTCCAGCGCCGCAACAGAAGCCTCCAGATTGCTTGAAGGGCGGCCCTCACTCATTCAGATATCCCTGAAGCCTGGAGCCTCGAGGGTGAGGGACCACCGCTTGGCCGTCGGGCCGGCTGGCTTGTATGCACGGGTTCAGGAGACACGGGCACCGGGTTAGGGGAAAGCAAAGCCGGAGAGGGCCAGAAGGCCAGATGCGTGGAGGCAGCAAAAAAGAGCACCGGTGGACAGACCAACTGCAATGAGCAGGAGACGCCAAGCCCCACCAACCTGTGCTAGAACCCTGCACCAACAACCCAAGAAATTGGGGAACCCAATCTACCATATCTTGAGCTACACACAGCCCACGATTTTGTCCTCATTGCACAAGGTTTCAGGACCGTCAGCTCGGCTGGTGCCTGGGCCTCTTGATGTCGCATGCGCGGCGCTGCCCAAGTCCAACTTGCATGTTCCACTGTGGCCAACCTTCTGGCCTGGGTTTGTAGAAATGCCTCAATGAGGAAAAGCTTTCAATGCCCTGAAGCTCTGCGGCGCTGCTCTTGCCCCACGGGAAAGGTCGCAAACGAGTATCACTTTATTGCTCGCCAAAAACTCCCCAAAATGATAAAATTGCAACCCTCCTATGGAATGAATCCTTCGCAAAGCCTCCTTGCTACGTTGGAAGCTGGCTGCCCTACTGCACTGATGCTTCCCGGCCTCCCAGAGCACACTTTCCCATTGGCTTCCTTGTCGCCGGGCTACTTCAGACAGAAAGAAAGCCAAACTCGGCATACAAGACTGCAGCTGCGTGGCCTTCCAATACATCTACACATTCGCCAGTTTCTGTTGACCACAACATGGCAGTGCCATCCCATGAAGCTGTCACCAGCAAATTTTCGAAGGGTGAAAACGAGATCCATGTCACAGCGTCCACGTGGTCGGAAAGTGTCCGGATCAGCTCACCATTTCGAGTCCAAACAGTTGCTTTTCCATCCTCACCTGCCAAAGCAATCTGCGTACCCTGCTGGCAAGATGCGGCCATGTACACTGCTTCCGAATGCTGCGCACAAGTCCAGTTCAGCTCACCTGTGGAAACAGACCAAACTTCGGCACTTCCACTTGCTCGAGTGGTAAGAAGCAGCTCGCCATCTGCGGAGAAATCTGCAAACTTAATCTCAGAATCGCCAGTCCTTGTGTGCAAGCAAATGCATGTTGTCCCGTTCCAAATACGCAATGTGGCGCCTGAGGCTGTCACAACGTAAGGAATAGCAGGTGAAAACTCGGCTCGATTAACGCTACCACCGTGCCCCCCAAGTCTCGCTGATGCTTCGCCTGTTTCAACCGACACAATGCACGCAAATCCGTCGGCCGATGCAGTGAGAATAGATATATCATCTGGGGAGAAGGTTGCCAAGTACACATCAGCAGTATGAAGAAATTGCCACTGCCTTTTGCCCGTATGGCTGCACCAGAGACAAGCTGTGCAGTCCTGCGATGCTGTGATCACAAAGCTACCGCAGCTTGAGAACACTGCGGAGTAAACCTCTCCGTCATGGCGCAGGCAATGCTTCTCTACTGGGAGCCATCCATCCACTGCCCAAACTCGGGCTGTTTTATCCTCCGACGCTGTCAAAAGTTGACTGCAACTGGATGAAATTGTGCAGGCATACACCTGTCCAAAGTGCCCGCAAAGCTCCATACTGTTTCCTGAATCCAGGTCGAACACTCGTGCTGTGCAATCGTTCGATGCAGTGACAACAACTCGAGCCTGTGAAGAACAAACCACATCAACCGAAGCACAGTCAACAAGGACATGTTGCACGACCGCCTCATCCGGCAAGATTTTTCCATTGAATAGCAAGTGCCAAGACTTCTGAAGTAAGGTCAATGAATCACCGGCACCCCGTCTCAAGTCTTCTCGTACCTGTCGGATTGTGCTATGCTTGTCCACGCGGCATTTCAAAATCTCTCGTCCGCTGAATGCCAGACAGCAGGACAAGCTCCACTTGCCATCGGCGCTCATCCAAGCAGATTCCGGCCTCTTGCGGAACAATAAGTCATCAAGAAAGAGTTGGCTGTGTCACGATTGACCATCAGTTCGCACGGCTGCTATCTGAGGCTCTCGTTGAATCCTTTTGAGCAACAATGCTACATTTTAAACATGCATGCCTTCACGGTCACCAAATTGACCCACATGAAACCTACCAGAGCCACCTCCAGAAGCTGCTAACAGCACCACTTAAGCATCAGCAGCAGCTGCAGCTACCGACGCACTGGCGCCTGTAACAACAGCAACACATGCGAGCATTACATAAACAGAACTTGCAAACTGGTGGCGGCAGCAGCGCCAGCGACAATGGAAACAACGACGACGGCTGCGGTTCACAAGAGATAACCAACAACACAGAGCCAACAAGCAAAGCCAATCAACAAACAGCGAACAATCAAAAGCATCAACAAGCCGCATTGACAATCAAGACAACAGCAGCAACGGGGACGATACCAAGAAGGATATTGAAGAGACCATTTTCGTGAGATAGGTTGTTGTGGACTTGCTGGTCAGGACTCACATTGCAACTGAGAGAAGAGAATTTTCAAGCCAGCAGCAAGAGCACATTATGATTTTCTGGAGGGCTGCAGATAAACCGCAGGAACCACGAAGTACCCAATACGAAACAACACGACCTTGAGGGCGCGCCAAGTAGCAGCGGATCTTGTTCTCGGAAGCTGCAAGGCCTGCAACATCATGTCGAATAGATGCCTCGATGCTAAAAGTTTGATTCATGGGTCGTGGTCAGTCATGTTTCTCAACTACTCTGGCGATCAGCCACTGCACACTACCTATCTTTACTTTCTGCACCAGTGACACCAGCATACACTAGCAACATCTGCGAAGTCGGAATTAGCAAGGTCAAGCCAAACTGAAACTCGAATGAAGTTTTCCCATGTGTGACCAGCAGCTGTCGTCTCTTCAAATGCCACAAACGCACAAACAATCCACCGACATCCACTGACCTTGTCCCCCAGTGTCGGGGCAAAAGTTTGGAAGGCCCACCTTGATGTATCGCCCACGGGCCATGAACCGCTGACGAATGAGTAGGATATGGAAAGTCACTGTCGGGTTAGACTCGTAAGTCGCGATGACCCGACTAGTCGAGGGCGCGTGCGTGCAAACAATGCAACCCACCATGATCACCATGTGCTTGTGAACCTCCATGTCAAGTTCAGATGTGCTGCTGATGGAGTGAGCTCACATCAATATGTATGCCCAGCTCACTGAAGCCAATCTATTCAAGAACCATTTGCACAACTCATCCCAAGCTGCATGATGCCAGGGAGTTTCAATCTACACGCCGATGTTAGTCAGCAGACTTAGCAGGCGTGTCTGTGGTGGGTGTTTGAATCTCTTCTCCAAACCGCAAGCCAAATTTTCATGTTTAGTACACGCAGAGGTGCAAATTTGCTTCAAAGTGCTGTATGGCACGGGATGGTGTTGATTTCAAAGCAATGTTGAGCAGTGAAGCAAAACCCTTCACATGAGACGTTTGTGAACTCAAAATCTCAAAATGATGCTGGCCCAAAGACCTCGCTGTGCTCTAAATACACCACGCGCCTCTGCATCACAAAAAAGGCACAACGCATCTTTTTTGACCATGTGATTTCCGGTTCTCGCGTCATTGTTGCTGGATCGCCGGTGCTTCGTCTTGAACATGACATGCCTTGGTTTCATGAGGCCAGTAAAGAAAGCACGACAATTTTTTTATCCTTGTCACAGCATTCACAGCACACTGCGCCGAGCTTCATCGCGAAGTTTTGCAACAAGCTTACGCTGCCGGTCGTCCAAGCGGTATGGCACCTTGAGAAATGAATCAAGTCAAGATGCTTGAAACGTACAACCCTAAATCTCTGGCTGTCTGGCCTCTACTCGCATCGTCACATAGTGGTCGCCTACCAAAGACCGTTGCAGGCTGCTTGTACCGCACCACCCAATAGCTTAGTTTCACGTTTGCAGCAAGATTCACTCAGTCCTCGCTCTCCCTCCAACTCAAGTTTCGGGACGCCACGCCCTCGAAGCCGCATTGTCATCCCAGGCTGGGTCCCAGCAGGAACCTGCAAATCTAACTGTGCAGAAAAATCTAGAAGTGCAAATGCTATGACACCCAGGAAACTTTCGGCTGAAACCTCCTAGGAACTTGCTACTGCAGCGAATGCAAGAAGTAGTGCCGCCTTCACTGTTGCTTCGCCATCCACCGTGCGGATCTGAAGGGAAGTGCCAAGCATGGCATCAAACACGCTAACACCCTGCTCACTGTAGATGTCCGTGCCATCCCGGACAAACTCATCAGACTGGCCAATCTTCAGCATGATGTACAGGTCTCCAGGTGGTCCTCCCCTGGCACCTTTGTCGCCTTCTCCTCGTACCCGCAGCTTGCTGCCAGCATTGCAACCCACAGGAATGTTCACGGCAACCTCACGACGCATGCTCTGGGTGCCTTTGCCACCGCACGCACTGCAAGTTGCCGCTGGATCTATACCAGAGCCTTTACATTTTGAGCAAACCTGCTGAGTCTGCATTCCACCTAAAGGCGTTTGCATAAACCGGACCGTGACGCCCGAGCCCTCGCATTTGCGGCACTGCTGCGTCTTTTCAGCCCCAGGATTAATGCCGTGCCCGTTGCATGTCTCACAGACCTCTTCCCTGTTGATGTGTACAACATGACGCCCTCCAAAACATGCAACTTGGAAAGGTATTTCTACCTTGCATTCTAGGTCTGCGCCTCTTTGGGCCCGGGCTTTCCTGCCTCGTGCCCGGCTAGATCTTCGTCCACGGGCAGCAGCACCACCAACACCAACTCCTTCAAAGCCACCATCATCTCCACGAGGGCGCCCCCCAAAAAAAGAGCTGAAAACATCACCTAGGATATCATCAAGATCAACCTCGGACAGGTCGGGTCCAGAGCTCATGCCAGAAAGACCGCCTTCTCCAAAGTGGTTGTACTGTTGCCGCTTCTGCGTATCTGAAAGAACCTCATAAGCTTTAGCAATCAGCTGAAACTTTTCCTGCGCCCCAGGCTCTTTGTTGATGTCTGGATGGTACTTGCGTGCCAACTTTCTGAAGCTCGACTTGATCTCACGTTCGTTGGCGCTCTTGCTTACTCCCAGCACCTCGTAGTAATCCATCACACCCCGTGCGCAACGAGCAAGGCCCCCGCACTTATGCCATTGTCGGCTGCGAATAAAGGTCATGCCAAGCACAAATCCAATTGTCTGGCAGCTGGAACCCGCTAGAAAGCTGTCCCTGTTTGGCACGGACCTGATACTTGGCTTAGAACTGGGCAGCTGCGCTGCCTCCCGGCTCAGAAGCGGTTGCCAGCTTGCAAATGACGCCGCAGCCATGGCATGCATAAGTAATTGGCATGAGCGTCAGCTTCACATCCACAAGTTTAATGCCTGCGCAACGTGAAATGAGAGTGCCATCTGCACCAGGATAAGGCGTAATGCTTTTAATTTTTTCTACTCTCTTCACTATTTGGCTCTAGGCTTGAAAATGCAGCCTGATCATCAGCTGCTATCAACCAAGGACTGAAAACTAGTTGATGCACTGACAGCTCAAATTGCCATGTAGCCGGACCCGAATGACCAAAGCAGGCGCGCACAAGTAGAATCAAGCTAGTCTGAAAGCACCCGCAGGTGTCCATGTCCAGGCCTGCCACGGATTGGGAGCAGCAACACAGGGTATCTGAACTGTTGACTTTTGGCACAGCTGTTTGCGAGCGCGAGCTCCACATCCAAAGGTCACGATGTGTAACTGTTCGTGGTAGCGCAACACCCCTGGCAACTACGAAGGTTTTGCATGACAGCCTACTTCACGTCAACTTTGTCTCGCAAGTCTGCCGCTGTCACGAAACAGTTACAACGATGAAAAGCTGCAAAGTAGATCCTTGACAAACCATGCAAAGCTTGTCCGCTGAACAGTGCTCCATTGGCAACTGTTTGGCCTCGACTGGCAGCCTTTTGGACGACCAGCAGAATGTCAAGCAGCTGGTGTAGAGAACGCTGCTTTGTCGTGCTAAAATTCCCGAGCAATTTCGAAAAAGACTGCCAACTCCCTTTCTTCTTCACACTGCTGGGGCTGCTGAAGGTCGCACACCGCTGCCCTGTAGGCATGTGGTGCTACAATTCCGTCAATCCAACGTCATGACAAGCACAGAATGATGGAGGACTGGAGGTTTCTCTATGTAGCTTTAGCGCGGTGATCTGTGCCTGAACTGGCTGCATTGCTCGCAGCAATTGGTGCAAGAAAAGGTCTCAAGGCGGATCATGTGGAATAGAAACTAGTTAGCCCGTTTTTTGAGGTGCATTGAACTGGCAACGTTTTAAAGCATTGAGCTCTCGAGACGCAAAACTTCACCGGCTGCAAAAGTGTGTGACCGGCTCATCACTCATCTTCAAGATGATTTCAAGGCCTGGAGAGCGGCCGACAGATGACTTCCAAAGTTGACAAAGCCACCAAAGCTTAGGAAAAACACCTTTCAATCTCCGTTATCGATCTTGGATCACGCCTGCACACCTTTGATATCCTTTGATGCTCTTTGACTCTCAGGCTGCTCCATCCTGGCACCTGCTCGCCCAATATTCTGATGCAGCAGGTACCGTACACAGCTTACAGTAGCGCGTCCAATGATCTGTAACGGGATGCCCTCCACATCCCCTGTCCATCTACGTCCGAACGCGTGGCGAAGGCTGCTAGGCTCGAGGATATAGAGCCCCTTGGAAAGGTCGTGAAGTAAGGGCAGCCTGCACTTGAAAAGCTGACTAAGGCCTAAGGGCGTTACACAGAGCTTCAAAAATCTGATTCCAAATGCGAGAGAGATGACTGAACGAGTTGCACATGAAGCTTTGTTTCTGCAAGTGATCTACATATGAAACGAACAGAGGTTGCGAAAAGAAATCCTGCCTGCAATTGCAGATGCAAACTTACAAGTAGCACAATTCTTACTAAACTGCATTGGACCCCTTGCAACATTCAGGAATGTCGGAGGCCGGATGCCTCGCTACGGATGCTTGAGCAAGCAGGACATGAAATCCGGGAACTGCGTGACGGAAATTCACAGCCAATAGCGGGTTGAAGACACTAGACCAGAACATACAAAGCAACAAGAACAAGAATGATCCTGCGATCAGCTGAAACACTGGACATTAAAAACAACCACTCTATATCACTTAGTCACAATCCTGCTCCTGACTGCTGCTGATCAATGCTTCGACCTTTGCCTTCTGTCTAGGCAGTTTTGTTTGGGCATCATGGCACATTGAACTGGGCATCAAGCTTCTGACTGATGCTTCATGAATGTCATCAAGTGGCCCCGGCGGAGCCAAAGAGAACGTAGCTATTGCGACCACGAGCGGAACGCTGCAAATAAAGCGCTACCTGCATGCAGCGATTGCAGCGAGCCCGCATCAAAATTTGAAGCTGCTTGGACTTGGCTGTTGGCCGCCTAGACTGCGTAGGGATGGTAGCGCAATTCACCTCACACAGCTCTGCTGCGACAGTGGCCTGTCAACATTGTGGTTCAGCGATGGGCCTCTACCAACGCAGCACACAGGAACATGAGACTTTCTAAGCTGGCCCTTACAAAGGATCCGACATACTACTAGCGCAAGACTGGCTGAGCGCAGACAGCAACACAGCAACACATCGCAAACCCCGCCTCAGTCCTCATAATTTGCGGGCCTCGACAGCAACAGAATTCAATTTGACCCGGAAGTACAAAGCTCCAAATCAAAATTTGACATGGTTGTCGTGGACTACACAGCACTGAAACAAACAACGACCAGTGTCTAATTAAAGCATTGGACAGCCCACTGTACGCAGCGGGACTGTCAAGTTCGACAAGAACTCAATATCAGCTTTTACTTTTCTAGCATCTAAGCTCCTGGGTACCTCAAGTTAGCTCCAGGTAGCCCCATGCTCTGGGATGCGGACGCAGCAGCTTGAAGCAGCTGCACTAGCTTTTGCTTGTCTTCCTGATAGCACGGACGGTCGTGCATGATTCTCCCGTTCTGAACAGACATGCAAAACGACCGCCTCTGACTGTGCAGCACCAGCCTCTTGCCACCATCGCAATCGAAAAGTATCCCTGGAACACTGTGACCCAACTCCTTCGAGTCCCCGACCCAAGGAAACGAGAACGGTGGCACCTCTCAAGACTTTCAATGGCTGCTGCTAAGCTCAGCTGGGTGGTCAGAGAAATCTGCGCGCATCATCGCGCATCCTGAATCTTGGGCTGCCGCCTGCGCAGTCAGAATCTGCCTGGGGCCAGGAAGTAAGATAGTCTACCATGCCGTTGCAGCAGTCGACGCTAGCTTGTTGGGGCATCGGCGGCACTGGTGGGGGAGATGGCATGTGCGCTTGCATTTGTGGGCTCGTCTGTCCCTGTGAGTTGTCGGCAGCTGCCTAAGAAAATCAGGAGGTTCAGGTCACAGGGCATCGCATGCAGCGCGACAGTTGCTAATTTTCAGGGCCAAGCAGTGGCTCCACCCCAAGCTGGTAGCATCGCTCGGGATGCAGGCACAGGGCCCGTCCACATCATTGGCCTCGACTCTTCCAACGTTCTGCAAAGGTTCCAGGCACGAAGGTTTTCAAGGTATCCGGTAGCAATTGTATCCATGAAGGCTTGCCTTCTCAAATCAGTGCCTGACCAACCCCCGACTGGCAGGCTGCCACCACCTGTTCAGCAATTCTGCCTCGCTCGCATCATGCCGACAGGCTTCACACTGAGGAGGCAGCAATTCATGCGTGCACATGGGACCTCATGCATGCAAGAGGCCAGTGTGACGACAGCCTACCAAACTCGACAGCGATGTGTCTTGACAGCCACTCGCTACATGGATTAGCTCTCAGTGAAATGTCTCATTTAAACCGGAAAAAACGGAGGAATTTTTTGAATTTGGTCGCGCAGACCTTTTGAAC